ACGTCACGCTCCAGCCGGGCGGCTGCCAGCAGCCCTCCCCAGCACTGGCTGAGCCACTCGCTTGACTCCTTCCAGCGATTTTTTTTTTTTTTAAGGCAGCTAATAGCTCCGAGGGAGTCCCGGAGTAATGAGAATTGGCAGGAGCGAGCAGATATTAGGTTTATTCACCACCAGTTTTAAATCATTTAGCAGAGCAGAAAGGCCGTGGTTCTACAAGCAATGTGTTGTTCTGCTTTGCTCGCATCATGGTTCCTATTAAAAGGGGTTAGTAGTGAATGGGGACAGGGGTGTCCGCGAGGGGAGCGGTGCTGCTCTGCTCCGCCTCCCGGATGGGACAGGGACGAGCGGGGCCAGAAACTGGGGACCAGGATTTGAGCCAGAGCTCATCCCCGTCGACAGGAGCTCACACAGGCTGCAGACCGGGGCTCGTGAAGAATTTTTGTCCCACCAAAGGCAGCCTGTGGCTTCGGCTTAAAAATAAAGCCTTAAAAAGGCAATTTGGGGAGCTGGCCCGGGGATGCTCTTTGCGCAGCAGAGCAGGGTTCCTTGGGGATTGCTGAGAAAAGTTGCGGGAGAAGTTAAACTTTCACCCCGGCAATTATTGTAAATCTCCTTGGTCAAGGCCCAGACCTAAAATTAGCCCACGAGCCCTTTTAAAGGTTGGGATTTTTCCCTTGATTTTTCCAAGTGACCAACCAGCAGCAGAGCAAACTGTGCCCTTCCACACTCAGAGCCCTGGGGCGTTTTTTAATTGCAGCCCCGGTGCTTTATGGAAGCAAGGCCTGGCCTTCCAGCCTTGTTTTACACATCCTGAAACAAGCAGCATCCCACGGAGGGAGAGCAGGAGAGAGCCTGTTATGTACCAAAGCCTTTGCAATCACAAAGCACTTATCCTGCTTCACGGAAGGAATCCCAGCATCCCAGCCCTTCCCTGGGCTCCTGGTATGTTTTGTGCTGTTTAGTAAAATCCGGGAGTTTAGTAAAAGCTGGGATGCCGGGCTTCCTGCTGCTTGTATGGGAGCAGCAGGATCATCTGCCTGGTCTTTTCCCTTGGAGGGTGGTCTGGGTGGTCCCATGGCATGGGATTGGCACGGCATCAGCTGGGAATGCTGGACCCGCTCCATGCAGCTCCCAGCCCTGCTGCCAATCGATAGCGAGTGCAGTGAAACCCTTAATGAAATTCCAGCCTAAGAGACTATTGATTGTGTGTTTTCTTTAAAAATGTATATGAATGGGAGAGAGGCTTTTTGGAGCAGAGGCTGGGGAGAGAGGGGGGAGTGGAAACACATTGTCAGCCGCCGTGGGAGGTGGGTGATCCAGGGTCACCTGCACTGAGCAGTGGGATCCAGCCCCTCTGTGACCATCAATTCATCCTCAGAACACCCCCGGGAAGGGAATCGTAGAATTGTGGAAACATTTAATGGTTTGGGTTGGAAGAGACCTTAAAGATCATCTCATTTCAATCCCCTTGTCATTTCAAGCCCCCAACCTGGGCTTGAAAATGTGACCAGCCAGAAGCAGGGGTGAACATCCACCCAACATCATCACAAAACCAGCCATGATGGAAAGAAGGAAAGAGTCCATGCCCTGGTCGTGCCTCCTTGGCAATGCTTTTGCAACCCCTCCTTTGGCCCATGTTTCACACTGCTGCCAAAAACACAGCCAAACAAAAAAAGTGGTTTTGGAAGATGCTGCTTTGGGGGAAGAAAAAGCAAACAGGGCATCACTGTGCACCAGCCCTACAATCAACCTCACCCCTTCCCATCCCCTCTGAGCTCTCCCAAACCAGCCTCTCCCCAAGTCTCCCCAGATTACACCTGGCAGAGCAAGGGAATAGCGAGGAAGCATAATAAATAAATAATAATAATGACAAAAAATCCACCCCCCTCTCCACCCCTTACATAACCAGTGTTGTCTTAATCCTACAGGTGCTTTGCAGAAGTAAAAAGGATTTGTTCCTTCTGCAAATCCTTTTTTTTCTTTTTCCTTTTTTTTCTTTTTTTTTTGGTGACTCATCCTTATCCACCCGTGGACACACGACGGGGAGGCTGGGGGGGCTGTGCAGGGTCTGGGAGGCTGTGTAATCCCTCACTACATCCCTTAAACCTCTTGGGGTCCAGCTCCCCTGTCCTGGGGTTCCCCCTGTCCTGAATCCCCTGGCAGGGGAAGGTGCTCAGAGATGAGCCCCCAAAATCCACCAGCAGGACAGGAGAGGTGGGCTCTGGGGCTGGACCCCAAACCTCCCCCTGGAGCCCACTCCAGTCACAGTGTGCTGCCTTGTGACCCCTGGGAATATGGGGGTGCAGGGGGACACCCCAAATCCCCTCTCCTGTGCAGCCTAACAATGAGTATTGGGCTGGTAGATGGGGTGAGAAAAGGCTGTACCCCCTTCTCAAGGCACAGGGGTGTCCTGCCAGGATTTGCGAGTCTTGGGGTGCCCCCTGAAGGTTTGATGATCTGAGGATCCGAAGCTTCCCCCAGGCATTTGGGGCGGCGCCCAAGGATTTCAGGTGTCCCTGACCGGGGTTTGGGTGCCTGTCCGACGATTTAGGGCCCCCACTGAAGATCTGCGGTTTGGGGCACCACCCGAGGACTTGGGGTGCCCGTGCGAGGATTTGGGGAGGCATCCCAGGATTTGCGGTGCCACCGACATTTGGGGCGCCCTGGCTGGCGCGGCCCCCACCCCAGCCCACGTGCTGGGTGGGGGTGGGTGCCCACCCCGCCGGGTGCCGCCCCTGGGGGTCCCCAGCCCGGCGCGCTGCGAATCGAGGGGGGCGGCGGGGCCGGGCGGGGTCCTTTAAGGCGGCGGGGGCGGGGTGGGCGGTGCGGGGGGCGGTGCTGCCGGCGGGGCGGGGGGCGGCCGGGCCGGGCAGAGCCTAGCCGCGCTAAGCCGAGCCGAGCCGAGCCGGAGCAGCGAGCGGGGCCGGGTGAGCGCATCCTCCGGTACCGGCACCGGGGGGCGGCGGCGGAGGGGCGGAGGAGGGAGGAGGGCTCTTGTTTTCCCGGTTTTTCCCCCCGCCCCCGTTCAGGAGCGGACCCCCCCACCCGGGAGAGGGTCCCGCCCCCCCTCACCCCCCCGCCGCTGCGGCGCGGTGCAGCCGGGAGGGTCCCCGAGCCGCCCCCTCCCCTCGCCGCCGCCGGGCCGGGGGCTGCCGCCGCCTCCCACTCCCCGCGGCTGGGTCATCCCCCCCTCCCGGTGAGCATCGGGCCCGGCGGGGGCGGGAGGGACGGCGGGGGGCGGTGATGGGGCAGACCCGGCGGTGCCCGGCTCGGCCCAGTGCGCCCGGGGATGGGGGGCTGCCCCAGGGATGGGGGGCTGCCCCAGGGATGGGGGGCTGCCCCAGGGATGGGGGCTGCACGGGGAGAAGAGGGGCTGCCCCGGGGATGGGGGCTGCACAGGGAGAGGGGGGGCTGTCCCAGGGATGGGGGCTGCCCCGGGAGAGGGGGGAGGCTGCCCCGGGGATGCGGGGCTGCACCAAGGGGTTGGGCTCCCCGGTGATGGGGCTGCCCCACGGGAGGGGGTTTTGTCCCGGGAATGGGGGGCTGCACCGCGGGGATGGGCTCCCCCGGCCATGGGGGCTGCCCCGGAGGGATGAGGGGCAGCCCTGGGCCCCGGCGCTGGGGGCGCAGGCAGCGCGCAGCACCCCGCGTGGATGCTCCGTGATTTTCAATCATTATTGTCAGCCTGGGTTTGCGTGAGGGGTGCAGGCAGCTCGGGGGGGGGTCCCCACCTGGTCCCCCCAGACTCTCCGGCAGCCGGTGCCTCCCGTCCCTGGGGGGCCCCGGGGACCCCCGTGGGGCCGCTGCGGCTCCCGAGCTTCCTCCAGCCCCGCTCTGCTGAGCCTGGGCAGCACCACGGGGAGGCCCGTGGGAAGCGGAGGGACTTTCTCCCTGGCCCTTCTGCTTATTTCTGGTTTTGGTGGAGTCAGGCTGGAGCCCAACAGAGCTATGGCTCAGGGGTGAGATGTGCCCGGGAATACTGCTTTCACTCCAGGGCCTGACAGCCTTATCCTTTGCCTTCCAGGTCCCTCTGAGTGGGTCTGGTCCCTCATTCCAGCGTGGAAATCGATGAGTTGAAGTTATGCATTTGACCTGGAAGAGCCAGGCTGCTGACGCTTTGGGGACCTTGTGAACTGGAACAGGAGAGGAGGTAAAACAGCTTTGTCCACCCAGCATTCTGCCCAAAATCCCCGGGAGGCCCTGCTAATTTGTCTTTGAGTGGATGAGAAGCAGCTGAGGGAGCTGGGGGGGCTCAGCCTGGAGAAAAGGGACTCACCAGGGGACCTGCTTGCTACAACCCCCTGACGGGAGGGTGGAGCCTGGTGGGGTCGGTCTCTTCTCCCAGGTAACAGGCAAGGAAATGGCCTCAAGCTGTGCCAGGGCACAGATATTAAGGGGATATTGGATATTAAGGGAAATGTCTTCACTGATAGAGTTGTCAGACACTGGAACAGGCTGTCCAGGCAGTGGCAGAATCAGCATCGTTGGAGGGATTTAACAGACATGTAGATGTGGCACTTGGGGACGTGATTTAGTGGTGGCCTTTGCAGGGCTGGAGGAACTGTTGGACTCGATGATCTTGGATGTCTCTTCCAACCTAAACAATTCTATGATTACTCAGAACTCCCCTCCACAGGGATTTTTAGAAAGGCATCTGGGGATGCCTTTCTAAATAGGGATTGTGCTCCTAAACCCCACAGGCTCTTCCAAAATTCTCAGCCCCCTTTCCCTGAGGCCCTTGGCCATCGTGTTTGTACAGACAGGTGTGTGCTGCCAGGGGATCTGCTTAGATGGGATAGCAAGTGCTCTTGGACCTTCCCTCTGTGTCCTTCAGTGGTGTTTCCCAGTGTCTCGCCATCACTGTGATGCTTCAGTGCAGCCCAGGGCCACCGCTGAATAACTGGTTTCTAAAAAAGTTGGATAATTCTTGTGGAGATGCTCCAGCCTGTTGACACGTGCTTGGGAAGGGCATGGGATTGCCTGCCCTGTCTGGTGTCTCACCCAGCACAAGGTGATCATTGCTCTGTGCCATAGAGGGGGATGAGTCAGCCCTGGGAGCTGCAGGATGGAGCTCCCCTGTCCTGCTCTAGGTAAGCCTTTGGGGTTAAAATCACCACCTTCCTCAAGTGTGAGACCTTCAGTTGGCTCAGGGCTGCAGTGGCTGCTTGACTGCAGGGCTGCCTCTTTTGGCTGGGCCATCAAGTCTGTTCCCTCTTCTCCTGGACTGTGAACATATCTCATACACCCTCGTGGCTGGGTGGTCTTGTCCAACCTCCTCTTGTCCTTCCTCCTTGGAGGGAAATCACCCATCTCTTCGAGATGAGGATGTTGCTGGCTAATGCCTTTCCTCTTCCTCCTCCTCCTCCTCTGTCTTCTTCTTCCCAGAAACCAGATGATGGTTGCACATCTGCTGGCCCTGCTGACTCAGGCTGGCCGGGGTGCCCCGGGGCAGTGCTCCCAGCCCCAGGCCAGCGGAGCCGCTCCTGGCAGCGCTTCCCTCCCAGAGCACCCGCCCATGGGTGCCCTCGCCTGACCTCGGCTGCTTTCCCTGCCCGGGGATGCCAGTGAGGTGGTGGGATAAGGGTTGGAGACTTGTGCCTGGCTCTGTGCTCCACTTCCCCATGGAGGCTGGCAAAGGGAACCTGGGGACTGCGGGGAGCATGTGGTACACTCCCAGGAATTACAGATTTGAATCCCAGCTGACTCCGTTGCAGCGGAGAGGAGAAGAGGTCATCCCTAAAGGGAAAACTGCAGCCCATATCTGATTTTTGTTAAAGAGAAAGCCAGAAGGGCTTGGAGAATCCCTTTGCTGTGGGAGCGCCTGCACTGCTGGTGCGGGGTCTGGGTCTGGGATGAGACTCAACTCGCAGAGGTTGTGCCATGAGTTGGAGCTGGGGGGACAGGAGTGGGACCCAGTGTGCATCCACTTCCAGGGTCCCATCAGGATGATGGGAGCCCTGCTCCACTGGGTCCTGGCAGCATTTGGCAGCCAAGACCCTGGGGCAGGAGATGGGCTGCGATGGCATGGCAGGACCCTGGGAAAAGGGATGGTGGAGAAGTTGGACACAGCCTGTGAGTCCCTCTGACGTGGTTGTGGCCATGATGGGTACGAAGCCCTGCCTGCCCAGGAGCATCCCTGCACAGCAAAAGGAAAAGGGATATTTGAGGTTGGATCTCCAGCCAGGGTTGGCAGCTGTAATAGGGTGTTTTGGCATCATCTGGTTGAGGGGGGGGTTCAAAGCCCACTGGAATGTTTATTTTGCTTAATACACCACTTAAGCAATTAGCAGTGATTGTAGCAGTCCTGGGTGAGGCGCTGGGAAGAATTGAATTTCCCAAGCTCAGATACCATTAGGCAGCAGTTTAAGGCTGTTTGCAGGCGGGTATGAGACAGTGATGCGTGTGGGGAATTAGATCTGCAACGCACAAAAACATAATAAGGAAATTTCCTACAGAACTGGGTAACTTTATCTCATGTTTATTATGTGCCTTAATTGAAAAACAATCTTAGGGGGTTCTCTGCCATAACAGCGGGGGATCCCCAGTGATGGCTGTGCTGTATCCATCAGGATGTGCTTTCCTGGTTATCCTGCACCACTGACCCACACAGCTCTCCCCCCAAAAACACCCAAGGAGCCCCTCCATGGCATAACGGTGCACAGGGCAAGAGGAATCTCTTTAAAGAGTTTGCATTTGTTTTGTGAAGTGCAGTTGGGTTGATGTTGTGGGGCTTTTCCTTTAAATTTCCTGAGTTTCAGGTGCATCCAGCAGTGGGGAGCGAGCAGATAAATCTCCTGCTGTTTGGCATTTCTGAGCCCAGGGAGGGTCTGCCCCCCGGTACCAGGTCAGTGGTTAATATGTAACAGGTGTGCAGGACACTGTGCACCCACAGCCTGGAGGTGGGTGGATGTGCAAATAATTTTCCAAGGATGGGAAGCCGAGAGGAGGAGGAGGAGGAGGAGGGTTTTGTTATGGGCTGAGAGGCGGAAGGAAATCGAGGCTTAGTGAGGGAAATGTGAGATTGCTTGGTTGGGGACAGGGCTTTGGCCACTCCTCGGGGGAGGCTCTGCTATTGTGGTAGTTAAAAATAGACTTTGGACTGGTTAGTTTTCTGTGGGAAGTCTCTCCTGCCAGAGATAGGCATGTGAGGTGGCATCCAAGTGAGAGGGAATGGACAACAGCCTCTGACTCCTTTACCTTAAGCTCTGTTTTTATTTTTTTTTAATATCTTTTCTTTTGGGCCATTGAGGGGAGGTCTTCGCTTTATTCCCAGACACAGCTGCCTCCAAGGCCCAAGCTTCATCCATGATGCCCAGCTGTACCAAAGTTTTGCACAGCATCATGTCACTGCACCCTGGGGACCCCCTCCCCGTGGCTGACGTGTCCCTCAGGTCCCACACCAATGTACCCAGTGGGCTGAGTGGCTTGGGTGGTGCATGGGCTGGCAAGCGTGGTTCCCTGCAAGCTGGATGGAATTACTCAGGGAAGAGATTATCTAAGATCCAGTGGATCTTATCTATTAACTCGTCTTTATTTTCCAGCAGCTGTCAGCACGGGAGGTATAACGTATGCTGGGGGGGGTGATTTTGGAAGAGAGGGATAGGAACAACCCTGTGATATGGTCAGAATAGTGAGAAATGGAGAAAATCTCAGGTTTTACTGGAGGAACTGTCATGGGCCCATTTGCTTATTGGCAGGAGTGTTGGGGCTGACATCAGGATGCAGAACTGGGAGATATCACACAGCGCTGTGGGGAGACCACGTGTGCAAGAGCAGGAAGAAGGGTCATTTCTTGCCTGTTTTCTCTTTGGAAGATGTGTCCCTTCAGCACCTGCACCCCAAAACCCTGCCCTGGCCATCCAGCACTCCTGGGTGCTTTGGTGCATCTGTTTTGAGGGCTGGTCTGGGTGATGCTGCAACCAGAGAGATCTCTCATTGGGAAGCAGAAAAAGGCCTGAAACCTTTTCACTCCAGAAAAATATTTTCTAGGCTGCAAGTGTCAGGCGGACCCTGAAGTGCATCTGGAGTGCAGGGAGTCAAAGCATGCACTTACCGAGGGATTGGTTCAAGGAAGGTGGTTTGACCGTAAAATTTGAGGCTGAAATGCTGTTTGATTAATATTTCAGTGGGATGGACAGTAAATGAGAGGAACAAAGATTGTTTCCATTTCTATCCAATTCAGGCAGCCAGTCTGATTTAAGATCAAAATAGTATAAATAGTCCTTGGAGCAATGAGGAGTATGGAGAGAAATCAGCTTCTCCCACGCCGGTGCTGTGGTGGGGATGGTCAGGGGTCTGGGGGGACATGAAACGCACGAGGGCAGGTAACTTCTGCTTCTGCTGCTCTGTGGCTTTCTCTTCCTCAGCTCAGCCTCTGCATGCCTTTCAAGCTCTGATGGGTCTTGAGGGGCTGGGGATAGCCCTCAAGGTGGCAAAGAAACACCACCAACATGATTGGTCTTTGCATGGTTCCAGTCTGCTGTGGAATAGGTGGACATCGTCTCTGTGGCCAATGCATCCCTCATCCCGTTGTGCTTGCACAGTAAGAGCAGGGGTGATGCCCTTGCTTCCCTCCTGCCACCGGCTCTCTGTGATGCTCACTCTGCCCCACTGTCCTAAGAGCAGTCAGTCCCTATCCCGGTTTTAGCTGTTTTCCTGGGTGCCTGGGGCAGGCAGTGCCTTGGAGCCGTGCAGGCAGGCTCCAGGCTCCCTCCTGAGCTGCCAGAGGGGCTGCCTCTGCCAGAGGGGCTGCCTGTGTGTCGAGAGCTGCCTGCCTGCCAGGATCACTTCGCGCCGGGGGGGGGGCCCGGGACGTATCGCCTTGCTCTGCGACCTGCTCGTGACTCGGGGATCTCCTCTGGCATGGCACGCTTAGGTCAGGCGCTTTTCTTGGGGCAGCAGGTGCCTGGGTTTCCTCATGTCATTCCCGAGGGATCAGGATCACCAGCTGGGGCTTTGAGTGGCATCGATCTTGCTGGAAGCCGATCTTGCTGGAAGCCAAGCAGGTTTCTGGACCAAGGCAGCCAGGACTGGGCTGGGGACCACCTTCCCCAGGAGCCAGGGATTTGCTGCACACTCTCCCATGCAGGCTTTTCCTTCCACTCCTGTCCTTCCCTGGCTTTGCCCCGGGAGCTCTCCCACACAGGTGAAGGTGGAGGGATGCAGGCAGAGATAGAGGGAATCAGACTTGCCACCCACAACCTCCACCAGACAGTGTTTTTGCCCACTGAGGATCACTTTGTCCCAGCCTGGCTGCGCTGGCCGGAAGGGAAACATCTCTTTATTAGGGATGTTTCCTTAAATAAAGCCATCAGAGCCAGTGCCGGGCTGGCTGTGCTGCCCATCCCATGACCGGTGTTGCGCATTAGGGTTGTTAACACCTCATTAGATGTTGGTTCCTCCCCACGCCTCTGGTTCAGCAAATCCCAGTGGCTTTGTTGTTGCTCCCTGACTCCTGCTTCACCGGGGAGTTGTTTTTTTACGGTCTCCTGCGCTTCTGCTGACAGTTTAAATTTCATTTCTTCTTGAGGTCAGTAGCTTTACTTCGACTTTCAGATCATTCTGTGTGCACCCCCCAGAGCAGGGGATGCCTCAGCACACCTTGTTGGGAGAGACTGTCCTAACATCACTGCCAGGGGCTGGCTGTCACCTGCCATCCCAACCTGGGCTTCCATTTGGCGAATTCCCAGAAATTCCTTCTTTTTTCCTTCTTTTTTTAAACCTTTACTCACTTTCCCAAGTGACAGCGACAGCAGACACAGCACTGCTCTGGGAGGAGTTTGGGGACTCATGCAGGTGGGTTAGGAGCCCATCACCAGCCTGATGCCGTGGTTGCCACTCCGTGGCTTCCCTATGACAACAAACCACCTCATTTTATATATCCGTGTGTTTTGTGTCACCCAGGCCAGGGACTCGAGGCTGTGGCCCCTGAGCCAGTTCTGGAGTGGGCTGATGGCACCTCCCAAGGGATCTGGCTCCTTAGCAAAGTGCCCAGAGCCCCCTGCAGCCCTTGGTAAGCCGGGCTGGCAGTGGATGGCCCTTCCCCTCCAAAAAGCAATTGCAGTTTTCCTGCTTATTTTCATCTTGAGCTTATTTTCGTCTCCGCTTCCACCGCTCTGCCCGGGGATGCTGTCTGTGGCATGATAAGTTATTTCAAGAAGTGGGGCAGAGCTGTTGGTATGGAGGGGAGCGAAGGCACTCAGATTAAAGGTAAATCTACACAGATAATTGGGAGCCTGCTTCCCGCAGAAACCAGGTAAACAATGAACCAGGGGCGGGGATGGCTCTGTGGCCCCGGGGGGCTGCTTTCAGCCACCCCACCCACTCCCGGCTCCTGCTGTTGGTCCCTGCCTGGGGGGCTCATGGACCAGCTCCCGGCAGGGGGCCTGGATACATGGCACAGGGTTAGTAATCCCCGCCTCCTCAGACCTGCCAGATGTCTCTCCTCTAGCCTTCGTTTTTATAAATTGGCCTTTTAAAGTCTGTCATCCCCATGCAGATGAAAGGAAGATGCTGTGATGCCTCTGCGTGCGCGTCTCAGAGCCTGAGCCCGGCTGCAGTGCCTGGATCTCGAGCCTTTTTGTTTGGGGCTTTATCTTTTCTGAAGTGCCTTTTTTTTTCTTCTTCCCCCCCCCCCCCCCTAACATCTCAGAGTCTGTTGTATCTTGGCTTGCCATCCCTTGATTTCGGGCAGGCAGGCCCCGCTCTGAGCACCTCCTGGAGAGAGGGGTGGGGAGAAGTGTTCTTGCTCCATCTGTGGGGGGTAAACGAGCAAACCCCTGGGGCTCGACACCCAGGGCAGATGCAATTAAACCCATCACTGTGGGGCTTTCTCTCCTCCTCCCAAGCCCCTTTCTCCTCTTTTCCCTCTGCACCCTTTCCCCCTTCCTTGCTCTTGCCGTGACTGCTTGGATTGGCAGCAGGAGACTCCTTTTCATCTCCCTTTTCTCCCTGAGCCCAAATACTCCTGGCCCGTGGCTGGTGCCAGGGCAGCTCCCCGGGGCTGTGGGAGAGCTGGGGCTGTGAATTTTCAATTCACAGGGCAGTAACTGCTGCCACAAGCCGAGTCTTTAAATCCTCTGCTTGGTGATGGATGGATAATTAGGAATTTCATTTGCTGGGCGGGTAACAAACAGCTTTGCATTTTCTGTTACTTTCCTGTTGTCTCTTGGGGAAATTCAGACACTGCTCCTAAACTGCAGGGATGGTTTTTTTCCCAGCTGGCATGGCTCCCTGCTCAGGTCTCCAGGAAAGCCCTGTGATGCTGGGGAGAGCCTTGCCAGGGATTTCTGCAGGGGCTGGGGCTCTACTGGAGACTGGTGATGGTGTTGTGGGATGTGAGGGGCTAGTGCAGGTCCTCACTGCCTCCCTGGCACAGCCAGGGCACCAAGCAGCATCCCTGTCTTAAAGGTGGGAAGATGCTACATGCATTGTGTTTCTATTGAGATTTTTGTTGCCTGTGTGGGTTTCTCCTTGTTTGAGGGGGTGGAGAGCCACTTCCTGGGATGGAGGTGCTCCTGGAGAGCTCAGATGTTTTGTGCTGGTAGGTCAGGTGGTGCCTCATCTCCGTAGGGATGTACTGGGGAAATGGCAACCGGTTCCTGGCCACAGCTGCTGCTCTGCATCGCAGCCTTCGGGGCTTGGTCCTGCCTGTGTCTGGTGACTGACGTGGTTGGGGTCTGGAGGACAAGGAGCGGGTTATCCCAGTCCCCAGTGCCTGCCCCGATCCCGTGGCTTGTGCAGTTCATCCGAGCAGTAATTAATTATTGGCCGTGTAAGCTGCTGGCGGGATCCTGCGCGTGATTTATTAGCAGGAGTAATCCCTCGCCAGCAAAAGAGCTGCTCTGTGAATGGAGAACAGCAAAATCCAGGGAAAGAGCTACTCTGTGAATGGAGAACAGCAAAACCCGGGGGGACTGTCGTGTCCTTCCAGAACTGGATCGCCCAGGCACAGTTCCTGCCTGGAGCACGGCAGCTGCAGGCACCCCTGGGCTCTGTATTTGAGCCGGCTGAGGTGGGTTTGCCAAACTGCTGCCCTCAGGGGGGAAGGAGGGGCATCTGGACATGTGGACCTTGCTTTTGGGGACATGGGCTGAGCAGTGCTCCACTTGCTCACTGGCCAAGGGTCGCTGTCACCAGTAGACCACAAGCAGTCTCACCACCGGGAGGAGATTTTTAAGATACATTTGCTGATGGGGTCTCCCTGGGGAGGCCGTTCACACTACCCAAAGCCTGGTAGATGTTTGGGAAGTGCAGCATAAGCACCAAGCCAGCCTGCACACGTGCCCTGGCAGGCCCGTGGCTGCTGGGAGAGGGACCAGTGTGGAGATTGAGCAAAGTGATGCTTCTCCCATGGGCACGTGGGTCTGGTCTGCGGCTCCCATTAAGCTTTGGTGTGCTCCTGGGTCTGGCTTTTGTTTTCTTTTCCCCCTGTACCCCATCTACTCCTTGGCCTCTGTCAAGGACCTGTCCCAGGTTATCCATTACCCTACAGTGCTCCAGTGAGGAGGGTGAAACACCAAAATTCATGTGGCAAAGGATCAGGGTAGAAATAGAGAATGGAGAAAGAGAAGGACCAGCTGCTGGGTGCAGAGGTGTGGGTACTGCCAGGACTCCTGATACTCCCTCACCCTATGGAGAGCTGTGCCATGCCCAGGCAGACACACGGCGAGAGAAATCCTGAAGGCGAATCCCCCCAGGCTCCTCCAGCCGGGGACTCCTTAGCGGTTTTATGATAAATCAATAACGCTTTTGCATGGTCATAATCGTAAAATAAGTACAATTT